ACCTTGTGACTGTATCGCTAACTCCTACCTCATTACTGCCCAAGTGTATTTCACAGTAAGAACACACCTCACTTGTTACTGCTCTGGTGTGTTTCACGGTAAGAACACACCTCACTTGTTACTGCTCTGGTGTGTTTCACAGTAAGAATCCCTGGGTGGCCGGGCGGTGGTGGCGCACGCCTTTAATCCCAGCACTCGGGAGGCAGAGCCAGGCGGATCTCTGTGAGTTCGAGGCCAGCCTGGGCTACCAAGTGAGTTCCAGGAGAGGCGCAAAGCTACACAGAGAAACCCTGTCTCGAAAAACCAAAAAAAAAAAAAAAAAAAAAAAAGAATCCCTGGGTGGTTAGCAGTTTTTCCATTGGTGGGTACTTTTTCTGTTTAGTATAAATAAGAAGGAAGATCATTTGAGAAAGCCCGGCAGAGCCCTGGGGCATGGAGGACAGGGAACACTAAACAGAAACTGTGTTGTTTAAACAGGAAGGGCCAAGGAAGCAGGCACTTTGCATGAACAGGAACACTAAAACAGGAAGCGCAGAATGTCCTTGGACTGTGGAGATAGCATTTGATAGATGCATAAGTAAACCTGTGTCTTAGCCAGGGAAGGAGGAGGTGAGAAAGAGGTGATCCTGGAGGCTGTGCAGGTGGGTTCTGTTGAGGTTTGTAGTGGAAAACCAAAGATGCCCTTGAGCTTGGAGTCCTTGCTCACTTTCCAACTTGTGGGAACGTTGGCAACATTAGGAGGAGTGCATCTATAAAGGGACAGAGGCTGGAGGGAAGTGGAAAGGCTGAGATGGGTCAACCAGGACCCTGTTGTCCAAGTCCAGGGCAAAGTTGTCTGTGCCCGTGGGGAGAGTCAGCAGGAGTTTTTGAATAGGACTGGGGGTCTTTTTTGCTTTGCTCACATGGCTGCAATACAGTCAAGATTTGTAAGTTTGACTTCATAAATATAAACATTTTGTGTATGGCAGCTCCTAAGAGAATTTGGTAATCGAGGGGCTACTGGATGAGCAGGGACACAGAAGAATGAAAAAAACCTATCTTATCTCCAAGCTGGGAGCCTGGAGAAAGAATATTCCCTCAAATGAGACATTATTACGTGGCCAAGATGGCTTTCCTTGTGTTATTAGGCTGATAATGTATTTCTGAATCATGTTTAAGTATACACTCTCCTCTCTTTAATACTCTCTTGCATTGAGTATTAAATGGCTCTAAGGGATTATGTGGTGACACTTGGTCACTTGTTTGTGGTACTACTTTTAAAGATGTGTGTGTGTGTGTGTGTGTGTGTGTGTGTGTGTGTGTGTGTGTGTGTGTGTACATGTGAATACAGTGCCTTTGGGGGCCAGAGGCCTTGGATTCCCTGGAGCTGGAGTTACAGGCAGTTGTGAGCTGCCAGATGTGGGTTCTGGGAACTGAACCAGGGTCTCTTTTGCTTGTGGCATGGGACAGACTAGCTGGACCTGGCACTTGGAGCTTGTGGGGTTCTCCTGTGTACTTCCATCTCCCTGCTCGCACAGTAAGCCCTTCACCCCTGGCATCTCCCAGTCCATCCCACGCTCATCCTCCCTCCAGTGTGTGCTCATGTGCACCACAGCAGCACGCTCCCTGGCTTGTTCAGCATCAGCCTGTGTCGTCACTCCTCACTCACCCACTGCTGACGCACTCAGGGCCTTTCCAGTTCTTCATCACACCCCGTGTGACTGAAGGTAACAGCCATATTAGGTGCTCTTTCACACCTTACGTTTTTGCACTTTTGTTACTGGAAACAGCTGCATAGACATTCTTGGTTGTTTGGTGTTTTCAGTCTTTTCTTGAAAATGCTCTGAACTTCATTAGTTGTTACGTTTTGTAGTCTAGCCACTCAGTTTTGTATACTTAGACCTCTAGTTGCTTTGCTGTATTCTGCAGTTAGAAATGACTTGGTAATGAATGACACACGTACATTTTTTTGCATTTTCTATTTTTGCATTGTTGGATGTTTATCTTCTGAACTCTTAGAAGCAGGCTTTTTGTCTTGAGGGGTATCCAAATGTTGTTTTGTTAGGTGTCCCCATCTCCCTGGCAGAAGGTTGTGTTCTCATTCTCATGCACCAAAGTGCCCATCCCCATCTTCTCACAGAGCAGATCACAAGTGTGTGGATATTTTTGCTAACCTAGTGGTGAGGGCACATTTCAGCATTGTACTTTTGCATCATGGACATGTTTAGGGAGTGTGTGCATATGTGTGTCTTACAGCTTTCTCCTTTAACATATTGTTTCTTCCTTTTGAGTAATTTATATGTTAGGAACATGACCCTTTGTCTGTGGTATATGTGGTCAGTATTTTATGCTGCTTTATCATCTTTCTTTTTTGCTTTGCTCACACAACTGCCATACACAAATTTTTTATATTCATGAAGTCAAATTTGTAAAACTGACTGTATGTGGGTGGCAAATCATACAAGGAAAGCATCTTCCATACCTAGGCTGTCGAAATTCTCCAAGTTTTCTTTTAGTACTTCTGTCCTTACATTTTCACACTTTAGTATTTGTCTGTTAGGCACTTATGTGGATAGTGTGAAGAATGCCTTCCATGTGTCCTTTCCCACTTGTATTAACAGCAATTTGAGAAAGTTCATCTTTGCTGATATAATTTGTGTCCACTCACATACATAAAATAACAGACACACACAAACCTGGTGGTAGGCTGAGCATGATTCCAGTACTCAGAACGGGGAGGTACAGGGAATCAGAGTGCAAGGCCATCTTGGCCTACACATTAAGAGACTGTCTCAGAAAACAAAGAGGTAATACCTTAGAGTAGTGTGTTGTTGTTGTTTTAAAGATTAGATAGTTTCAGAAAATTTAGGCAATTCAGAAACTTGTAAGTTACTAAACCATGTTGCACGAATCCTAATTGGTCTTATAATAAAACCCAGAGCCAGATATTGGAGTAAATGCTGAAAGATCAGAGGAAACAAGCCACAGCCACATCTCACTTCACCAACTCCTCAGCCGAAAGGGGGAGATCCTGTTTCCACGAATCCTCAGACTGAATGCCCAAGTCCTCAGCCCAAAGGGCCGAGCTCCTGTCTCCTCCTGGTCTTATATTCCTCTCTCTGCCCAGCCATATCACTTCCTGTTTCAACCTTCCTAGTGCTGGGATTGAAGGTGTGTGCCACCACTGCCTGGCTCTGTTTCTCCTTTAGACTGGATTAATCTCATACAGTCCAGGGTGGCTTTGAACTCACAGAGATCCAGACAGATCTCTGCCTCCTGAGTGCTGGGTTCAAAGGTGTGTGCCACCACTGCCTGGCCTCTATGTTTAATCTAGTGGCTGGCTCTGTCCTCTGATCTTCAGGCAAATTTTATTTGTTAGAGTACAAACAAAATATCACCACAGGGTCACCCCATGCTGCAAAGGAAGGAGACTTGGACATTTTCTCTGGGCTCTGAGTTCTGGGGTCTGTGGCCTCTAGGACATAATGTTTAACAAAAATTTATCTGATCTATTAAAGGCACACACCTTTAATCCCAGCACTTGGGGCAGAGGCAGAACTCAGATCTCTGAGTTTGAGGCCAGCCTGGTCTACAGAGCAAGTTCCAAGACAGCCAGAGCTACACAGAGAAGCCCTATCAAAAAAAAAAAAAATCATAAAACACAAAGTCCAGAAACAAACCCAAGTACTCACAGACATCTAGAGTCTGATAGAGGCTACATCGGCAGCACGAGGGTACGGGTTATTAGCTTTTTCCTTCTGTCAGGAGCCTGGGGATAGAGCTCCAGCTGGCAGGCCTTGTGGCAGGTACCATTACCTGCTGTGCCCTCTCCCTGCCACTGTTACCAGTTTCGAAGCCATGAACAGCATGAAGTTTTAACAATGATCTCCTTCCCACAGATGATGCTATGGGCATCTTCCTTTTTCCTCAGCTGTATTTAGCTAGGCATGGTGGCACATGCTCGCACTTCTGGCACTCGAGAGGTTGAGGCAAGAGGATCATGAGTTCAAGGCCAGCCTGGGCTAGAGTAAGACACTGCCTGAAAACAACAAAAAGTTAAGAACAGGAACAAACTGTCCCTGTAGTAGAGGTGAAGCAGGACGCCAGCCATCAGAGGCCAGGGCTGGTATGACCCCTCCTCACACAGGGGGACTGTCTAGAGGGCGGTGAAATGCAGAGGAGATGGGAGGCCCATGAGAACAGAATTGGCCAGCCAGAGTTTTGACTTGAGTATCTGTTGGTGACACTTCCTAGCTAACAGGAATGAGGTTAGCACTCTTCTCTCTCTGCTCACCCTGCTTCCTCTGCTTGCAGGCTTCCCTTAAATGGAATGCTTTGTTTTTGTTTTTTTAATGCTTTTCATCATTTAAAAAAATCTATTTACAAGACCTATTTCAAGGAGATAGGACTTGTTGGCCATACGGTCTAGTTTTCATCAAGTTTTATTTCAAGGAATGTATTTTCTTAAGGAAAAATCAGACCTATAATCTAGTTTAATTCAATGTGTCAAATCCTATAAAGCCTTAAAAACAAACCCAGGTTTCATTATAAGCTTAACAGTTTACCTTTTTAGAAGAGAAGAGAATTACACAAAGGCGGAATGTGTTCTGTAGCTATTCAAGTTTTGAACGTGCAACAGCAGCTGGATCAGCAGTCCTTCCGTCCTGCTCTGCATCATCAGCAGGTTCTGAAGGCGCTCTGCTCTCTTCTGGTTCAGTGCCATCAAAATCCTGACTCAGAGCAGCTCTCCTCCTCACTCCTTTGTTGCTGTAGCTTTATTGAGATGCAGCCAGGGTTTTCTATAAAGAGTTGTTAATGCTGAAACAGCTCAGCTCTGCACTGTGTACACAGCATGCGGTAGAGTCTGCGTCTGACCAATTTGTCCCCAGATGAAGGCTGGGTCTCCGTTCAGATGCTGCCCACCAGTGACATGTTCATAGGACTTTTACCATTGAGCCATGTTCATTGTTCCCTCTTCCTGCTCCTAACAACACTCATGTTGTTCACCTTGTACATTGCAGCTTCGCAGCAACTAGCATGATTGGAAAGAGAAATCTGAGTCCTGACCCAGGGGAATCTGGCTCGGAGGACAGAGAAGTGATATCTGACTCTGAGCTTGAGCAGACAGATTCCTGTGCAGACCCCCTCCCAGAGGGACGGAAAAGGGCCAAGAAGTTAAAAAGAATGAAGAAAGAGCTTTCCTTGGCAGGTTGGTATTGGTCTGACTAACTCTGATCATGGGCTGCTTCAGGCTTCAGGAGGCTCATATTTTGGGAGCAAAATGATAGCAGGGCTTCACTTGAGGGCAGACCCCATGTGGTAATCCCCGGAGCTGTTGTCTCTAGGCGTGATGAACAGCAGCTCTTGCATTGTGGTGACAATTACTTGGCACAGCAACTGGAGGGAGGAAGGGCTTGTTGGGCTCCTGGTTTCCGGGGGCTTCAGTTCAGCACAGTGGCAGCTGTGCTTCTGTCTGTGTGGGTAGAGCAGGGGGCAGCTGCTCAGCAGGCCGTGCTTGTTCTGGTGATGGCAGATAGGAAGTGGAGGGAGCCAGACCAGAGCCAGGGCGGGTTTAACCTTCAAAGACCTGATTCCACTAGCCAGACCCCACCCTCTAAAGGCTCCACAGCCTTCAAAGTAGCACCACATGCTGGGGCTGCGTGTTCAAATACAAGCCTTTAAGAGACAAGCAATAATGTATTTTAATCGGAGAGGCTGTAACAAGCTCTGGTTCTGGCACACAAAGCCTGCTGAGGTCTCTTTGTGAGAGGTGGTCAGGCCATTTTCATAATTCCCCTCTCCACTATATTATCAAGGTATTGCATGTATATTTCTTGTAGCCTCAGTGTCTAGGACATGCATTTAGACTTACACAGAAGCAACTCCTTGTGTTCAGTTTCAGTAGAAGACTTGACACTGTTCCCAGAGACACTCTGGCATCCTGATTTTCTTCACAAACAGAATTATATAAGAAGCCAAGGAAATGAGAAATTAGCAAGTGTTCAGAGTCTAGTGTGTGCCAGACTCCATAGTGGGAGCCTTATTTCACTTGATTCTTATGTTTTTACAAAAGCCTTGAAAGAGGGAACCATGGCCCTTGTAGTGACCCAGGCTCCAAGCTCTGAGAACTTAGGGAGTGTGAGAATTAGACCAGGGGCCCAGGCCTGCCCGACCCAGCTGTGCCTTCACTTCACACAGGCCTCAAGCAGCCCGTACGTGCAAACCCTGGAGCAAGGGTCTGGATGGCTCCTCATCACTAGAAAGACCAGTCCCTGCGCTGCTCCCCATGTCCTGGGTACATGCGGAACAGGTCTGAATACTTGGCAGTTCCGTCCCTAAATCCATCACTGTCTGCTTTATGGCTAGGAACACAGAGGTTCTGAGAGTCTGTCCAAAGTCCTAGACTCCTTAAATGTGCCCTGCAAGGAAGCTAGCTGGTACTTCACCCAGGTCCTGCTTGTGTGTTCAAGATGAGGAGACACTGGACTAGATACAGTTCTTTTTCTTTGTGTCACTTGGGGACAGTGGCCCTGGTTGACAATCAAGAGTGAGATCAGAGCAGTGCTGGGCAGCAGGCTTGACTGTGCCCCAGTCAGGGACAGGGCCTTTTCCACTCTGCGTGTGTCCTGATCTGTAGAGAGCTTGCTGGATTTCATTGAAATTAACAAAAATCGCACAAGCAGTCAAACATATGCCTAAACATTGTCTGCGTGTGCTGTAGCTTCATTTTAACAGACTGAAGTCCTGCTTGCAGCTCCTCATACCATCTCTCCAGCCATCACCATCACATTCTCTAAAAAGGCTAGGCTTGGCAGTGCATGCCTAGAATCACAGCATTTGGAAGGCTGAGGCTGAAGGATCCCCATGACTCTAAGGCCAGTCTGGTCTGTACAGGGAGTCTGGGGCCAGTCTGGTCTGTACAGGGAGTCTGGGGTCAGTCTGGTCTGTACAGGGAGTCTGGGGCCAGTCTGGTCTGTACAGGGAGTCTGGGGTCAGTCTGGTCTGTACAGGGAGTCTGGGGTCAGTCCAGTCTGTACAGGGAGTCTGGGGTCAGTCTGGTCTGTACAGGGAGTCTGGGGCCAGTCTGGTCTGTACAGGGAGTCTGGGGCCAGTCTGAGGCCAGTGAGGTCAATCTCTTAAAAATTAACACATAACTATAGAATACATTAATAGATTAATTTCTTCTGTAGTTTTCATCATTTTAAGTGAAAACGATACATCGGTAATTTAGGGTTTTGAACATAGGATATTCTAATAAAATGGGCTTTTCTTTCCTCCCCTGAAGCAGTGCTGACAGCGCTGAACAGTGTGAACCGAAAACAAAGTAGATTTTGTACTTCTTCGTCAGTACTGCAAAAAAAGACACCACAGGAGAGACACCTTGACGCTGAGTTGGAGGACATGGGGGAAGTGGGCTTTTTTTCTGAAGCCTCCTAAGTAAAGCCTCTGGCTGCAAGGCAGAACTCGCTGGACCCGTGGCCATCTTGGTTTAAGTACTCAGTCCTGTTTGTGTCTGCAAGCCAGGCCAGGGTCGTCAGAGGCTGAACATACTGAGTCAACCAGTCTTGTTGCTCTCTTCTCTGAGTGAGCCCTGTTGTGAGTGACTACAGAGGTTCTGAAAGTAGCAGGAGTGGGATTTCAGTTCTGCTGGGGTGGGGCTGTGTGGAGTGTCAGGGAGCGTGCGGCCCAGTGTCTGCCTGAGAGCTTGAGCACTCAGCTTTGTGAGTCTCAGCCTGTGTCCTGCACCAAGGCTGCTAACTAAGAGGTGGGCCAGCCTGGGGGACTTTGTTTTCCAAAGAGTGTGTGGCAGAAGCAGTGTGTGATGTCCCACAGCTGCCATACAGAATGTTGTCAGTTGCTTACCCTAGATACACTAGAAGGTAAACCCCAGATGCCTTCACCTGTGACAGAATACCCAAATAGCTGGAGAAATAGCCGTTTGCTGAGTTTCTGTTGTGCCATGGTGCATCAGGATGTATCTGCCCTCACAACCTCTTTTGGCATCTTGCCAGGTTCTGTCACCACACAGTACGATACAGAGGCTGTCAGGATAGAGAGGAGACAGGTTAGTGGATTCACTCTTGAGTGGTCAGAGCCCAGAGCTTCGGCTCTGCCTGTTTCCCTGTCTGCCTCAGTGACAGGCCTGGATGCTTTCCATTATGAACATGCTTTTCCTCAGCTCAGTCCACACTCAAGCCAGACTAGATGCTGTGGTTCACATACCAGTCCAGCTGTGTTGCCACTGTCACACACACACACACACACACACACACACACACACACACACACGCCACTGTCTCACAAATGGCAGAAGTGGAAGAATTTCAGACCTACAGGAAACCTGACTGTAACTGACCCAGAGGAGGACTCAGCCTGCATCACTGCCTCTGCAAAAACCATGGCTGTTGTTGCTGTCCTAGGACCCGTGGTCCTCACTGGCCTGCTACCCCTGGTATTTCTCCTGCAGGTACCAGCTGCTCCCCTCTCATGAAAACTCAGGTTGTTGATGCTCTAGTGAGGAGCTTAGTGCTTGCTCTAAACTCACTCAGGCACTTGGTAGATTTAAGTCCCTTACCTTTCTATGTCTGTTCTTTCACCACTATCATGGGGACATCGATGGCTCCCTGGTGGCTTTTATGAAGTGTGTGAATTAAATGCCCAGCTTGGTGTCCAGCAGGGAATGCTGCATGCACATGTACATGAAGTGCTTACACCCAAACTCCCATCTGTGTGCAAACAGGCCGCCAAAGCAGGCCAGGGTTGCCACCTCCCTAAAGGTTCCTGTGTCTTCCCCTTCATGTGCTGGGTCTGTCCCCAAGTCCAGGACCTACCTGTGCACCAGTCCTTCCCTGCTTGTCTGCAGTTGGGCACAGGGTGCTGTCCTTGCTAGCCAGCAGTGTTCCCCTAGTGACTGTCCATGTCCTTAATCTGCTTCTCCTTTCCCCCCAGGAACCGTCGCAGATAGCCCTGCCATGCTTTTTGAAGTCCCTGACACGTGGTAACAGAGACCAGGGTGGAGCACACTGAGCGTGCTGCTGCTGAGGGAGAGCTCGCCCAGCCTGCCTGTTTGGAAGCCATACTGTATGCACTTAATCAAATGAGGAAAGCATGGGAGGGCTTTGGAACCAAGTCTGTCTCCTGCAAAAACTACTCTTTCGTTTTTGGCTGTCTCTATTTCCCCTTTTCATCTAAACTGACCCTTGGCATACATCATAGTTGAGGGCTGTGGCAGGTGTGTTTGTTATTAACTAATTACTTCCTGCTCCTGGAAAACCTGTCCTGCCCTGATGAGTGTTGGCAAGTCCACCCAGGGAGGAAGTCAGCTGTGAACCGTGCCGGGTGAACCAGCCTCCAGGGTGTGCTGGGCATATTCGTGCTGAGCTCTGCCCTGCCTGGAGGTGTGCCTGGACACCCCTCCATTCAGCCTGTCATCACACGTCATGGTCACTGTGTCCCCTGCTTCCCACCATCACTGCCTAGAAACAGCACTTAGGCTTGTCTTTTCAATGGAGATCTTCCTGTGCTGACTCAGGGTCATCTCAGCAGATACCTGGGCTTTGAGAGCACATTATTTCAAGTTCCTTTCCCTCAGAGTCTCACATGGATGGTATGAGATTGAGAAGCTGGATTTTCTGTTCCTATGCACAGTGCCAGATTCAGTGTGTGTGTGTGTGTGTGTGTGTGTGTGTGTGTGTGTGTGTGTGTGTGCGTGAGACCATAGCAGAACTGCAGCATGCATCAAGCCTTCATTCAGACAGGTTCCACAGTGGCAAAGCACCATGCGCTCCTGCAGGACACTCCACAGCAGACACTTCTGGATATGTAATGCTTTTGTATCATGAAAATAAAAGTAAAAAATGAATTTCAAAAAGATGAATTAAAAAAAATTTCATAGAAACTCACCTTTAACTCTTTCTTTGGAGCGATTGCCGCATTTGCCCTCTAGCTGTTCCTTGCCTCAAGCTCCCATGGTGGAGTTGCACACCTCCATGTGTGGAAGACTTTCCCCCACTCCGAGGCTCCTAACCCTCCCCCAGCTCAGTCTGTGGCTCCACTAAGTGGAAAGTGGAGACAGGGAGGGAGCAAGCCAGAGCTGTGGGCTCTGCCAAGCTTTAGACTTAAAGGCGTGAGATTAGGGGGGCCCTTTGATTTTGGTTTGGTTTGAAGTGTAGGAAAGGGGACCCAGGGCTTCACTTTGCACTAGTCCAGCACCGTATCACTGTGCTGCACCCCCACCTGACACTAATGTTTAAAGGAAAAGGGGGGCTGGAGATGTAGTTCAGTGCTAGAGTGCTTTTGCCTGGCATGCCTGAGGCCTTAGGTTCAGGCCTCTGTAGGGGGGTTGGGGGGTACACATGATTTGTGAGGCTGAACAGACAGCTCAGTGGCTACCACTGCTCTTACCGCTCTACCAGAGGATCAGAATTCAGATCCCAGCACCCATGGCCGGGCAGCTCTCGGACACCTGTGACTTCAGCTGCAGGTGATCCAGTGCCTCCTTCTGGCCCTTATGGGCACTGACACACATGTGCACATACATACATATATAAATAAATCTTTAAAAATTACAAAAAAGGAAAAGGTGAAGCACAAAACACTGTGAGCTGGCACATGAATGTACGTGCACAAGGCCTAATGTGTGTGCTTGTGACCACCCCCTGGTCCTGTATGAAAGTAAATCTTACATGAGAGGGAGACAGCTTCCTTATCCAAAGCTGATGACTGTCTACATTGTACCCAAGACTCACTCAGGAATATATCCAGCACTCATTGCTGGAAAAGCTCTGCCCATGTGCACAGACCCTGCCATTGTTCTAGAGAGCAGTTGGTGGGGGTGAGATGTGCTTTCTAGACAGAACTTGGGCAACTGTGTTTGCATCCCAGTTCCAGCTGTGTGTTCCTGGGTACATTTCTATGCCCTCTGAGCCTCAGCCTTCTCTTTCATAAAATCAAGATAATAAAACTTACCTCCAGAGTTGTTGTGGAATAAATGAACTAAAATACCAAATGTTCCCAGGTACACAGGAGATTGTAGTGGTGGTAGGCTGTGTCTCTGTCCCTGGAGCTGACAGAGACACAGTTACTGAGATGTTAAGTTACCCTCTCCCCACACCTGCCTGAGCTGCCCTCCAGGCCATGTTGATACCTCCTTAAGCCCTCAGAGTAAGTTTCTGGCTTCCTCATGCCACAGCCCAGAGGCTTAGTGGGTGTAGGCTGTGGTTGGACGCTTCTAGAATGCTTTCACCAAGTGCTCAGACAGGTGTGGTAATAGGGTATTCTGTGGCTCTGCGTGTGGTTCTGTAGTCCTTGGACTGGCAGGCTGCAGTGCAAATTCAGCACAGTAGCTCTGCGCCTGTTCGCAGCTCTGTGTGTGTTCACTGTCCCCACTAACATCTTGGGAAAATGAACGAAGTAGTGTTCAGGAAGCTCCATTTACTCACCACTTGAACTGTATATGGTTGCCATCTTAGTCTGTTTGTCTTACTTCCATTTGTCCATCCATCTGCCTACTCACCCATTCTTCCATCACCCACCTACCCAGCCATCCAGCCATCCAGTCACCTTGGTTTTTGATGAATTTCTCAGTTGTAAACATTCATGTATAGGAATTTGGGGGTCACTAGATGACAGAGGGGAAATTGGGGTCCTCCTTTGATGTTCTTAGTCTCATAAAAGAATTTAAGAATGGACTCAAACAGGTGATCAAGGAGATTTTATTAGACTAAAAAAACAAAAGTCCCGGGGCAGGCCAGCTGTTGCAGCAGCTGTCCAGGAGGAGAATAAAGAGAATCGAGCCTCATGAGGCCGGACATGTAGCTGACAAGGAGCCGCATGGCGGGAGGGCAAGGGAGAGTGCTATGGGATGGTCTGTATGTCAAATGCGTTGCTGATTGGTCAATAAATAAAACACTGATTGGCCAGTAGCCAGGCAGGAAGTATAGGCGGGAGAGGGAGAGAGGAGAATTGAGAACAGGAAGGCAGAGGGAGACACTGCCAGCCGCCGCCATGACAAGCAGCATGTGAAGACGCCGGTAAGTAAGCCACAAGCCATGTGGCAAGGTATAGATTTATAGAAATGGGTTAATTTAAGATAGAAGAAGTAGATAACAAGAAGCCTGCCACGGCCATACAGTTTGTAAGCAATATAAGTCTCTGTGTTTACTTGGTTGGGTTTGAGCGGCTGTGGGACTGGCGGGTGAGAGAGATTTGTCCTGACTGTGGGCCAGGCAGGAAAACTCTAGCTACAGGAGAGAGAGGAATCCAGAGTGCCGGCAGGAGAAGCCAGGCGTGGACCGTCTGTCTGCCTCGAGCCTTAGGCAGACCCAGCCAGACCTTGCAGTGGGATGGGGATTCTGGAGGGGATACAGCATCTGTTAAAGAAACACGGTTCTGCCTGTGTTAGCATGGCGGAGGGGAGCCCGCCTGGAGAGGCTCCGCGGCCAACCATGGCCTGCCAATGGGGATGCCACTCTTGTCACTCTGCCTGCACCACCCACCCCTACATACTCACCACCCCACCCCTACATACTTCACCCCACCCTACATACTTCACCACCCCACCTTATATACTTCACCACCCTACCCTACATACTTCACCACCCCACCCCTACATACTCACCACCCCACCCCTACATACTCACCACCCCACCCCTACATACTCACCACCCCACCCTATATACTTCACCACCCCACCCCTACATACTTCACCACCCCACCCTACATACTTCACCACCCCACCCCTACATACTCACCACCCCACCCTACATACCACCCCACCCTACATACTCACCACCCCACCCTATATACTTCACCACCCCACCCTACATACTCACCACCCCACCTCTACATACCACCCCACCCCTACATACTCACCACCCCACCCTACATACCACCCCACCCCTACATACTTCACCACCCCACCCCTACATACCACCCCACCCTATATACTTCACCACCCCACCCTACATACTTCACCACCCCACCTCTACATACCACCCCACCCCTACATACTCACCACCCCACCCTACATACCACCCCACCCCTACATACCACCCCACCCCTACATACTTCACCACCCCACCCCTACATACTCACCACCCCACCCTACATACTTCACCACCCCACCCCTACATACTTCACCCCACCCCTACATACTTCACCACCCCACCCCTACATACTTCACCCCACCCCTACATACTTCACCACCCCACCCCTACATACTTCACCCCACCCCTATACATACTTCATGTGTGTCATTGGCCAGTTAGTAGTTGTTTTATATTTGTGGACCTGGAGGGAGCATCCCTTGATTGAAATACTGGACTCTTAAAGGTACCACTGAATCATTTACCAATACTACTGCCCCAGAATTGTCCCTTGGGCCTCTTCTCAGTCCGCCCCTGTTCCACTCCAGCCTCAGAGGCAATCAGGACTGAGCTTTTTCACCACAGACTGATCTCTTCTCAGACTTTGTGAGACCTGAATGAGAAGGTCTATACTCAAGATGGTATAAGCCAGGGATGGGGCTGTAGTGCCATGGCAGAGTGCTCGATTAACATGTTTGAGCTCAGCATTCCATCCCCAGAGCTAAGGAAGCAGTGAGGGAGATGGGTTTTCTTTCTCTCAGCATAACATTTTATCTATGGGATTTATCTGTGTTGTGCATGCAACAAATTCTTTATCGTTCGTTCGTTCGTTCGTTCATTCATTCATTCATTCAGGTGCCAGGCATGTAACCCGGGGCCTTGTGACATTAGGTACCTCATCACTGAGATACCCCACCCCTTTTTAAGTTTGAGTTACCTGTACCAACAGTTTATCCATTCTCCACAAACACCTACACTATTTCCAGTTGCAGACTTTTGTAAATAAAGTTCTTGTAAACATTCTGTCCAAATCATTGATTATTTTTTTCCAAAATCACAGTCTTTAACTGGGGGGGGGGGGGATAAGTAGTAAGGGTTGGGCATGTAGCAAGGAGGGGCTTATGTTAGATGTGTGTATCTTCTAGGAAACGGTTTGATCTCTTTCCAAGTGGCTATGCCATTTATTTGTTTATTGTATATATACATGTGTGAATGCATGTTTGCATGGATGTGGGCATATATGTGTTCAGGTGCATGTGCACACATACACTGATAAGAGTGGAAGCCAGAGATTGATGTCTTGTGTTTTGCTCTACTGCTCTCCAACTTATTCACTGAAGTAGGATTCCTTGTTGAACCCAGAACTCACCAATTTTGCTGGTATGTTTAACCAGCTTGCCTCAAGATATTCCATCTCCATCTCTCAGGTTGTGGAATTATAGGCTGGCCGCCCCTATGTGCCAGCCTGCATTTATGTGGGTGCTAGAGAGCTGTGCCCACTTCCTCATTGCTTACACGGCAAGTGCATTACCCCCTGAGCCATCTCCCTAGCCCATCTGTGCTGTCACAACCTGGGACGTCCCAGGAGTTCCCTTCTTTGCCAACATTTGCTGGAATCGGACTTTGATTTAGCCCTCCAGGTAAGTGTGTAGTTACCAATGACTGTGTCCCTCTTTTCTCTGATGCCTAATGACGGTGTGTTTGTTGGCTGTGTGTCTGTCTTCCTTAACAAAGTGTATGTTCAGTTCACATGCCTGTATTTTATCTGGTAATCTATATCTCTTGCTAATTTGTAGGAATTTACATATTCTCAATATCCATCCTTTGTCAGATGTTCTACAAATGTTTCATCCCAATGTATGGCTTCCAGCTCCCTCTTTAAAAAATTGTGTGTGCCAATTCTTCACAGACTTGGAAGAACAATACTCAACTTTATATGAAAAAAAGAAAAAACCCAGGATAGCTAAAAGAATCCAGTATAATAAAGCAACTTCTGGAGGCATCACAATCCTGGACTTCAAGCTCTACTATAGAAC